AGAATAAACTCTTGTTTGTTCAAGCATCCCATTTGTGGTATGTTTCTGTCAGAGTGACACTAGGTAACCAGAACAGTATTATTCATAGATACCTATTGGATGGGTACCAATAGATCTCCATTTTGAAGTTGAGGTTTGAATGTTTTACCACTTTAGTAGCAGATCACTTTGGTTTCAGTTTCAGAAGGTCAGAAAAGTTAAGAGAAGCTTTAGATGGTCTACAAGAACATGAAATGATGCTCAGTGTCATTAGCTATTAACCCACTGCTGTTGAGTTAATTCTGTAGCGACCCTATAGGATAGAATAGAACTGCCCTTATGGGGTTTCCAAGGCTGTAAATCTTTACAGAACAGACTGCCTCACCTTTACTCCTGTGGAATCACAGTGAGATACTATCTCACCCCAATTAGAATAGCAATGATGTAACAAACAGAAAACAACAGGTGTTGGCAAGGTTGTGGAGAAATTAGAACCCTAATCCACTGCTAGGAGCTCTGGTGGCATAGTGCCTAAGGCATCTGAGTACTAACAAGAAGGCTGTTGGAAAGAAGGTTGGGCAATCTACTTCTGTAGTGATACTGCCTCAGAAACCCAAGGAGGGAACACTATGAGTCAGATCCGACTCCATGGCAGTGATTGTGTTTTTTGTTGTGAATCCATTGCTAGTAGGAACATAAAATAGTACCTCAAACCCAAACCCACAGCCCTTGAATTGATTCTGACTCACAGTGACCCTATTGGACAGAGTAGAACTGCTCCAAAGGGCTTTCAAGGCTAAATCTTTGTGGAAGCAGATTGCCACATCTTTCTCCCATGGAGCAGCTAATGGGTTTGAACCACTGACTTTTTGATTAGCACCCCAGTGCTTTAACCACCGCACCATCAGAATTCCTGTAAAATGATACCAAAACCAAACCAAACTCACTGCCATTGAGTCAATTTGACTCTCAGTGACCACTCCTTAGGTTTCTGAGGCCATATCTCTACGGAAGTAGATTGCCCAATATTCCTTCTGAGGAGTGGCTGGTGGGTTTGAACCGCCAGTCTCCTGGTTAGCAGTCAAATGCCTTAACCGCTAAGGCATCAGACCTCCTGTAAAATGAAAAACAGTGGTTCCTTAAAAAGTTAAACATAGAACTACCATATGACTCAGCAATTCTCACCCAGAAGAAGTGAAAGCAGGAAGGCAAACAAACATCTGTACACCAATAGTCACTGAAGCACTTTTCGCAATAACCAAAATGTGGAAACAACCTAAATGTTCATAGTAAATGCAATATATGCATGCAATGGAATATTGTGCATCCATAAAGAGAAATGAAGTCTTGATGTGTGCCACAAGATGGATGAACCTTGAAAACATCATGCTGAGTGAGGTCAAATAGGCAAATATATAGAAACAAAAACATATTATTAGTGGTTACCAGGAAGTGGGAAAGAAGGGAAATGGGAAAGTTTTTGCTTAGGGGCCATTTAATTTATGTTAATAGTGGTGGAATAATTTGGAAAAGGATAACCATAATGGTTGCACAACATGAAGAATGTAATCAATGTCACTGAATTATTCATGTAGAAATTATGGAATTGGCAAATATTTTGTGTATATTTTTGCTACCAAAAATCAAACCAAACTTGTCTTTGAGTTGATTCTGACTCATAGTGATCCTACTGGACAGAGTAAAACTGCCCCATAGGGTTTCCAAGGCTGTAAATCTTTACAGAACCAGACCGCTACATCTTTTTCCTGCAGAATGAAGCAGCTCACAGGTTTGAACCACCAACCTTTAAGTTAGCAGCTGAGGTCTTAACTACTTCATCACCAGAGCTCCACACAAAAAGTTATTGAACACCTACTACATATCCTAAAGAAGTGAGAACCAGAACAAGAACTGATACATGCATACCCACGTTCATTGAAGCACTATTTACAATAGCCAAAAGATGGAAACAACATAGGTGCCCATCAACAGAAGAATGAATGACCAAATTATGGTACTTACACATAATGGAATACTATGCAACCCTAAAGAATAAAGTAGAATTGGTAAAACACCACATAATGTAGAGATGAACTTGGAGGACATTGTTGTTGTTGTTGTTGTTATGTGCCGTCGAGTCGGCCCCGACTCATAGCGACCCCTCCTTGGGTTTCCGAGGCGGTATCACTACGGAAGTAGGATTGCCCAACCTTCCTTCCGAGGAGTGGCTGGTGGGTCAATTAGTCAATAACATAAGGACAAATATTGTATCAATCCATTATTGTAAAAAGTCAAGGAAAGGTTTATAGATGGAAAGAAATTTTCTTTGTTGAATACCAGGGGTGGGAGGGGAGGAGAGAGAACACTGTTAGATAGGTAGAGACGAGTACTGATTTGGGTGAAGAGAAGGGCAATGTACCAAATGTGAGTGATCAACACTGTGGCATTGAGGAAGAGGAAGACATAGAGAGGTACATGGGAGATACAGACAACAAAGATGAACCCTTTTGCACATACAGTACTGCATTGTCAGTGAAAGCAAACATTGATATATGGGGTGGATAGATGGCTGGACAAGCTGAACTATTAAGTATGTCTATGCAGGGGGGAGTGTACCCAAGACTATATATAGCATTGTCAGACAATATTTCTACAACTGTATTTATATGTTCTGTAAGAATTCCCAGGTATATAGTAGAGTTGACAAAGGGCAAGGTTGTAGTCACTTCTTGGCCATAGTCAGCTACCCAGAGGGAGTGAGTAGTTGGACCTGTGGGCTTGGGGCCATAGTCGCAGGGGACATCAAGATAAATTGGCATAATGTTGTTGTTGTTGTTATGTGCCGTCGAGTTGGACCTGACTCATAGCGACCCCTCCTTGGGTTTCCAAGGCAGTATCAGTACGGAAGTAGATTGCCCCATCTTCCTTCCGAGGAGTGGCTGGTGGGTTTGAATCGCCAGCCTTCTGGTTAGCAGTCAAGTGC